GCTCAGCTCCTCACATTGCTGCACACGCTACACGTGAGCCCTCAGCTGAGCTCCTCACACTGCTGCACACGTTACACACTACACGTGAGCCCTCGGCTCAGCTCCTCACACTGCTGCACACGCTACATGCTACACGTGAGCCCTCAGCTCCTCACACTGCTGCACACGCTACACGTGAGCCCTCAGCTCAGTTCCTCACACTGCTGCACACGTTACACACTACACGTGAGCCCTCGGCTCAGCTCCTCACACTGCTGCACACGCTACACGTGAGCCCTCAGCTCAGCTCCTCACACTGCTGCATGGACACGCTACACGTGAGCCCTCGGCTCAGCTCCTCACACTGCTGCACACGCTATACGTGAGCCCTCAGTTCAGCTCCTCACACTGCTGCACACACTACACGCTACATGTGAGCCCTCAGCTCAGCTCCTCACACTGCTGCACACGCTACACGCTATACGCGAGCCCTCGGCTCAGCTCCTCACACTGCTGCACACGCTACACATGAGCCCTCGGCTCAGCTCCTCACACTGCTGCACATGCTACACGCTACACGTGAGCCCTCAGCTCAGCTCCTCACACTGCTGCACACGCTACACGCTACACGTGAGCCCTCGGTTCAGCTCCTCACACTGCTGCACATGCTACACGCTACACGTGAGCCCTCAGCTCAGCTCCTCACACTGCTGCACATGCTACACGTGAGCCCTCAGCTCAGCTCCTCACACTGCTGCACATGCTACACGCTACACGTGAGCCCTCGGCTCAGCTCCTCACACTGCTGCACATGCTACACGTGAGCCCTCACCTCCAATTCCACTTTGTATAATTTCTTTTAAAATTTAAGGCACTAACTCAGTGTGGGGTTTTTTGTTTTATTTTTACTTGCTGACATAGGGTTACCCCTAAACAAAGAAAGTAAAAAAAAGTCTGTTCAAGCAGCTCTCTGTGACATCTGTTAGAGTCCACAAAGTCCATCTGCCTGGCACCTGTTCATTACCCCATTCCCCGTGTTTCTGTGCATCTCAGCCACCAGCCCCAGTCAGCTTCTCCGAAGGCCAGCCTTGGAGGAGGCTCAGCGGAGCCTGGTCCAGGCCGAGCTCAGCCATGCCAGCAGTGTGTGTGGGGTCTGCGGCGTGGTTCGGCTCTCTCTGGCCCGGTGGGTGTGAGAGGTCAGACTCACCCAGGCCCTGCCTGGGCCTGCCCCCAGGCGTCTTGCCAGCAACCCTGGCGTGGCCCGCTGCTCCGGGCAGCCCTGAAGACTCACAGTTCACCATGGTGTGTCCATCAAGAGCACAGGGGCTCATGCAACCCCTGCAAACCATGCTAGATGCATTCTGGACTCTTCCAGCAGTTTCTGGCTTAGGAAGTGTGACCCACGCAGAAGCCCACCCCAGGCAGCTCCAGTCACTCCGCCAGAGGGCACTCCATCCACACAGTGTCATAGTTTGCACTTCTTACACCGTTTTGAGCATTGATTTAATCCTCGAGAAAGGTTTCCTTTCCTTGGACGAAGGAGAGAACATCGAGGAAATGTTTCTAAGACATTTTTACAAAGTTATCCAATAAGGCTTAGGCCAGTAGATAAACATTCCCATTTGCACTGTGTCCATTTGGGGTGGGGTTTATAAAAGGGGGACCAAATGGTGCTGGGCAGAGGGTTTGCGTCCTCTGAGGACAGACAAGGCCCAGGCACCGAGCGGTGTCGGCCAGCGCTCTGTCTTCCAGAGGTGTGCGATGCACAAATCAATGGTTTTCTGATTACGCAGTTGATTCACAACATCAAATTAGCTTCTGCTGCTCAGGTACATCTGATCCCTACCTAGCCACCCAGCGGTCAGCGGTGACTCTTACCAAAGTCCAGTGCTTCTTTAGTAGTGATTAATGAAGGGCAGCGTGAGGACCTGGCCTCAGACACACAGCGGCAACAGAGACACCGCTGCCTGGCTGGAAAGGTCCCAGCCCAAGGTCAGAGCTCGCATCTGGCTGCTGCTGACGGTTTCGTTCTTGTTGTTCTTGGTAAGACTTTTCCCCTGAATCCACCTGCCATCCCAGTGAAGCACCGTTTAGAACCCTGTGCTGTGATTTTCCATCACCATTCTTGACCCATTTTCCCAGCTGGATGGCACTGTGCATGGCCAAAATTATCTTCTCTTCACATTGCTTAATCAATCAAAGTAAACACAAAACAGAGATAAAGATCAAGGATATTTTTGCCTCAAATATATCTGCAAGGCAGCAAGTGTAGATTATTCATCGTTTCCTCTGTGTTTCTGCCCATAGTGCCTTTGGAGTAGAAAAGAGGGGAAGCCAAGGCTTTGTTTAACACAACTTTACATCCTCAAAGACAGGAGCTTAGAAGAGCCCAGGTGCTGTTGTTGGTCGTGGCTGTTAGGAAAGCCAGGGTCCTGGAGCAGCGTCCTCTGAACCTCCCCCACCCCCAGCCGCCATGGCCTCCGCTCTTCTGCGCTGAGAGCCAGCCCAGGGCTGTTTCCATGGAAACCCAGCCTGTCTCTTCTGCCGTTGCAAAACCCAAGCTGTGAGCACAGGCTGCCTCCCATTCCATCCACCCACGGGGCCTTGGCTGTCCCGCGTGGGCCCCTCTCCGTGAGCCAGATGTGCTCCGTAGACAGTGTCAGTCCCACCCGGACAGTGAGCTCCCTGCCACGCCCCCCCTCCCTGAGGACTCTGAGGCAAAGGTCCCCAGTGTCACGCGAATCCTCATTCTTTCATGACTGCCGAAGTTTGTGGTTTTCCAACGTTGAGGTTTCTAAAAGCTGGGAAATTTATATGTCAATCTGAGGTTTTAAAAGACTCAACATCTTGAGGATCACATAGAGATGAATGCCTGAGACAGCTGAAGAGACAGCGGGCCTCGGAGCCATCATTCACAGTCCAAGGCCGCCACCTACCGACGAAACGTTGAAGAGCGATTCAGGGAGCAATCAGCAGCCTCCACTCACCCGTACCCCGCAGTGAGGACACAGGACACACAGCTGACAGCCCCATGCTCTTTCCCAGGATTCAGGGGAGAGCCTCTCCTCTGCTTCCGCCTCAGAAATCCCTTCTAATCCAAGCACACACTGGTGCAGCCGAGCAGTCCCAGAGCCAGGGTGCAGACCCATCTGCCCTGTTAGAAATCTGAAAATAAGAGCGATTCTTTAGAGAAAGAAAAACTTCTTTCCTGTGCTGTTTTTCCCAACACTGAAAAAACTGAAAATGAATAAGATCGTGAGTTTTTTGGTTGTTTTCATGAAGGAGAATGACATTTAAACACCTCTTTTCTTACTAAATGATGAATTACACAAAACTGACTCCTTTTTACAGGTAGTAAAAATCTGGTCACCATTGCATTATTCTGGTTATAATATCTCACCTTGAATTTGAGTAGCTTCACCCAAAAGAGGGCATGCAAAATGTGGTCTCCTATTCAAATTTCAAAGTCACCTTTAAGAGGTGCTTAAGTTAAGAAGAGTTTAAGAATCATTTTCCTTGAACAAAGAAATAAGGCCGTGCATAGGCTGGTAGAAACACATTTCCACACCAGACATTATGTTGGTGACAATGATAATACCCCCAAGTTTTTCTACCAGTAAGCATCCCGGCAGGGTTGACACCTGTGGCATCATTTGGAAAATCAGCTTCAGTCATGTAAGTTCTTATTTAGGAAATACTAAGCTGTTGCCCACGTGGCCTTAGGACTGAAGTGTGAAGGTCAGGAAACAGCACAGGACTGGGGCTCAGTTGCTGCTGGAAAACTCGAACGTTCCCTCTGCTCCCCAGCAAAAGCCAGTCTCCATGTCCTGGTGAGCGGAGCACCCGCAGGAGCACACGGCCTCTTCAGCCCCTTTCCTTTCCAGTTTTTACCCTCCCATGGTTCGGGCCTCGTGTGGGACATGATAGGGAAGATACCGGTATCTCTCTGCTCTGAATCACATTCCCGTTTTTAGGGCTGGTGGGAAATTAGAAAACTTCTGAACACTGAAAATGGCCACAGTGTTTAATACACCCAAATATCAAACTCAACATTCTTATCCTTGTGATGTGTCCTAGGCCTGCTCCCTGCCTTGCTCCAGGACACTGGGCCTGGAGAGATCCCAGAGCCGCCAATGGGAGATCTTTGCCCTTTGCCCCCCCACCCCTCCCCCCCCCTCAGCCCAGCCATTCAGGCTCTCCCAGGGTAGGAATTCAGAGAATGCATAGCTTACGCCTTATTCCTAGGTGGTCATTTTACTCAATCACTTCACGCTGGTTATTGAGGAGGCCTCACTAATTTCTTTTCTGAATTTTGTCCCTTCATTTTCCCCCCTTTATTGTGGTAGAAAAGCAATGAAAGAGCTCTGTGTTTGTGTTGTGCTTTCTGCTTCTTCCCCAACGGCACAGTTTAAAGGTTACTCGGAGGGCAGGGCTGCCGGGACTCTGTGTCCTGTACCAGCCCTGGGGCGGCTGTGGTGAGAAGGTAGACCAGGCCCTGCTGTGCTGTGGGAGCCCACGCAAGCGGGAGCTCCCGGCCCGGAGTCCGGGTCCTTCCGCGTGGCCCTCACGTGTTGAACGGGAAGACTTCGGGGGGACCAGGGGCGACGAGTACATTTTCAGGCTGCGGGACGCCGGGGGTGTGCGTCTCCCACGTGCTAGCCTGCTTCCTGTATGGACTGGTGTAAGCACACACCTGTGACAGACCTAAGTAACAAGGGAAGGAAGTGGGTACTTGGAGGGGGTGGGCACGCGGGGATCCCCACCCTCATGACCACGGACGCTAGACAGACGTCCCAGAGACCGTGGAGTCCAAAGCAGTTGCAGAATTCAAGGCCCTGTGGCAAGGCCTTGTCGGGAGGAAGGCGTGGTGTGCCTGGGCTGGGAAGTCCCCAGCTCAGCCGGCCTCTCTCAGCCACCAGGCTGAGTGGCAAAGACGTGGCCTTTTGGAGAAGAGGAAAGCTAAATGCCCAGGATCCACACTCCCTCCAAGTAAGCGTCCCTGTCTGCATTTCTACTTCCAGGTGCCCTACGCCTGGCTGCGATGGCTCCGGACACATCACTGGCAACTACGCTTCTCATCGAAGGTGCGTATGGGGGCTCTTCTCGGAGCAGGTGCTGGAGCCGAGTTTGGCTCCAGCAGGCTGAGAATCTGGATTCTAGCATCCTCCTCAAGCCGCTGTGACCTAGGACACCCCAGATGTCTTCCTGGGGGCACTCTCACCCCCAGGAAAACACCTCTAGTCATACAACAGGACTTCTCTCCAAATGGAAAGCACAGAGGAGAAGGGTGACATCTCCAAGAGCAGCTATGGAGAGGTAGCCATTCCCAGCGGGGCTTCTCCGTAATGTTAGGATCTGAGCCGCAGAGCTGCACCGTGGTTACTCAAGGACACAAAGCCGAGCGCTGCAGGAAGGGCTCCCTGTAACAACTCCGGCCTCCCACCCCAGAGTCCACCATAGAGAGGGAGGCGCCGCCGGGCGGGGAACGCCTCACCGCCTGCCACGTGGTGAGCGTTGTACAGACACCCTCTAACACAGGCCCCGTGGCAGAAGAGATTGGAAAGGAACAGAGTGTCTAAATGCTCGCTAAAGATGGCAAGCCTGGCTGTGCTCAAGGAAACCACTGGAGACAGGGCTGGGGACCTCTGCTCTCCAGCCTCCCGTGAAGAAGGGAGGCCAGCCCACACTGGACTCCTCAAAGACAGCAAACGGGGCCTGCAAGCAAAGAGAGGGATTCAGACAGGAAAGGGAGGGAGGGAGGGAGGGAGGGAGGAAGAAAGAGGAAGGAAGGGAGAGAGAGAGGAAGGGTGGGAGAGAGGGAAGGCAAAAGGAAGGAAAGGAGGGAGGGAGGGAGGGAGGGAGGGAGGGAGGGAGGGAGCTCAGTGAGGGTCAGAAGTCAGGAAACCTCCCTTTCCCAAGCACAGCCTGGCAGTGGAGACATCTCGCCAGCCATGTCCTGCCTGAGTGTCCAGATCTTGGCCGCAGAGCTGGAGCGAGGCTGGCCCTGCTGGATGCGGGCCACGAGCGCTTGGCCTTGGGGACCCACTGGGGACCCACTGCTTGCTTCCTGTCCCTTGCGGTCCTGTCCAGTCACTCGGGAGCTCTGCTTGGACCATGCGCTGGTGTCAGGCAGAAGCAGTGTGTGTTGGGGAAGAGTATGGAAGGAGTTGATGTGCGGCCAGCTGCGCAGTGGCCGGCCCAGGCTCTTGGCCACGGTGGACCTTTGGGGGCCAATAATTCTCTGTGGCAGGGTCTGTCTTATGCATCAGGGTCCACTGTGCAGTTCCTGGGTCTCCATCTGCAGGCGGGGCTCGGGAGAGGCTGCCCCTGGGCCTCTGGGCACGCAGGACCAGTGAGTCCAGTCCAAAAAGGGTTTCAGGGTAGATGACTATTTAGCTTACGAAACAGTAACACTTGAGATAACTATAAAAAGCCAAGCACATTCTGTACTGGTCTTCATTCTAATACCCTAGGAAATCAACATCTCCATCCTCACACAGCTAGTGCTTGTAGCATTTTGTAAGTCTGAACAGCTGAAAGTGGGTGTTGGAGGGTTCTGTCAAGTCCGCCTGTTCTTCTCTTGACTTTTTTGGCGTCATATAAGTTTAGTCATAATGGAGTGTATATATTATAATTCGTGTCTCTTAGGTGTTTTGGAGTGTTGCGATTTTGCATGGCGTGATTGCTACTGGAATATATTTAGAGCTAGCTTTGGGGAGGGCTAGAAGGGGTCGTAACTGAAGAGGCCAGCTAAAGCTGCGTTGGAAAACTCTCAGACAGCCATAAATGCAACACCGATGCGGCCTGAGGTGGGTGTGCATGTGCGTCCGCCCGTATGACACACCATCTGCACTGGACTGAGTGACCCAAGGATTGTAAATTTTATTTTGTTTGGGACAAATATAGCCCTGTTGGGGTTTTGGCCTATAGGAGATAGAGTACATTGAAATATTGCTAATTCTGGCGTTTGACGTGGTTGAACACTTTGTTATGCAAACACGTCACTTTCAGTCAACAGAAAGACAGGCCCAGGGTCGCCAGCAGAGGTCCGTGTGAATCGGCTGCTCAGAGCACACAGACGCCCTTCTCCAGGCCGCTCCAGCGGCCCTGGCATGGCAGAGAATTTCCTGCCACGCTGGCACTCCTCCCGGGAGCACAAGCCAGGCACCCCACACACTGCAGGGCGACCTGGACCAGTCCGCGCCGGCAGCAGTGCGTCGCCTGCTGAGTCCAGAGCCCCTGCACCCCTGTGCACGCCGGTGAGGGGTGAGGCCCCAGGAGGCGCAACCCGGCCCCGGGGCCACAGAGCCCTCTCCAGACCTCCTGGTATCTAGAGCTAGTGCTGCTCTGGACAAACAGTCGACCCACAGGACGCTCCCGATCCCGGACTGGGGCCGTGGAGGACGCAGGCTTGCTCTTCCTTGTGCCGGAGCTGTCCAGGCCCGCCAGGCCTGCCCTTCCTACCCACCAAAGGTGAGCCCACCGTATCTGACACCAAGGAGACTGAGACTCAGAAGTGAAGAAGAGCTGGAACTCAAGCCTGAGCTCTGCCTCCAGCCGGAGGTCCCGGGACCCTGAGCCCTTGGGGACTACAAAGGGCGTTTCTAATGATGGTGTAGCTTTCCATCTCCACCTCTGATCTGGAACTCCTTCCATGACTTTAACAAACATCTACGGAGTCTGTGACGTTTCCTGCGCTCCACCGGGCAGGGTTCCCCCGCGCCTGGTCCTCAGCAGAGCGGGGAGACGCCAGGGCACACGCCTCAGCTCCGTCTCCAGCAGGCTGGCTGCCCGGCGGGCACAGAGGCCTCCTGCCTCTCCTCAGGCTGCTGTGCACATCTTTCCCCGCCCTGCCTTGGGTCTTCTCTTTCCTGTGGTCAGTGTGAGCTCTTGAGGGCTGCCCCCACACAGGACCACTGCCCACTGGCCTTCCAACAGCACCACACACACACAGAATGGACCTCAAGGCCCTGGGCCAGGCTCCACAGCCACAAAGCTCCCAGCAAAGGCTGCCTGCTCCTGATGCCTGCGTCCTGGCTTCTGGCACAGCCTCAGAAACAGACGAGCCACAGAGCGCTTACTACCCGCACAGGAGACCAGCCACAGAGCGTTTACTACCCACACAGGAGACCAGCCACAGAGCGCTTACTACCACACAGGAGACCAGCCACAGAGCGCTTACTACCACACAGGAGACCAGCCACAGAGTGCTTACTACCCACACAGGAGAGGAGCCAC